TTACACTGACATGTCACAGTCTTGTGGTATTTAAATTAGCAGTGCAGATAAGCCATTATTCTGCTGTGAGGTTGCTGCATCTTTCAGAGGCTATCCCCAGGCCAAAATGAAGCTTCCACCTTCAACCAAAGCCTTCAGGTATGCCAAAACCCTGCAATAAGGAGCAGTAAAGTTGTTCTGACATGATCAGTTAATGAGGCCTATGTATCTTTCCTTAAAATATGGTCTGGTACTTAACTCGTCTTCTAAAATCATAAGATGATAGCAGTTATGATTTCCCAGCACTTTATGATTTTGGTAGAGGAAGGTTAAAATCATTTCACACAGCTAAAACTTAGCATCAAGAAAGTTAAACAGTGTTTTACATTCATTCCAGAAGTTAAAAGGAAAAATACGAGTATTTTTCAGTCTTTATTGGAATTTCTCATTGTTCTGCTATGTCAAGGACTCTCAAGGACTGGTGTATGACTACATTTATAATATTAGGATGGATCTTCCACTGCAAGTGAGTACTTGCTGTCTTTAAAAGAGCTAACAATTAGGCTGCGTGTATACCAAAATATTTGGTTTTCCTTGTAACCATTAGAGACCACGGCATTTTTGGTTCTGATGTTTCCTACCCATAGATAGTATCTTAGTTTTGGCTGACTTTTCAGTCAAAAACAGGAAAGGAGTGGCAAAGAACACTGAATTTTTAATAAAGCAATAATGGCTTTAATCTTCCTTGCTCAACAGTTGCAAAAGAATGAAACATCAAAGAAATATAAGTAACACATGAAGAATATATAGCAGAAAAAAAAAAAGAAGACAAAATTGTCTCTTAGCTGTTCCCTTAGAGGTGTTCTGTTTTCCAGCTTCAGACCCAACTCCACAAGTGGTCGAAGATAAAGAAAAGACTGTGAGCCTTTTACAAAGAAGAATCAATTCTGAAATGAAAAAGAGATTGGTTATTGGTGGGATCTTTTTCAGGAAAAAATTGTGTAAATTTTGCATTATGCAGACTTCAAAGGTTGTAAAACCAGCTGAAAAAAAAAAGTATCTGTGGGGAAAAGGCCTGACTTGGGGAAAAAATCAGAGTGAATAAAAATATTGTGAAAGAAACCTCTTTCCTTACCTTAGGAAAGATGTTTATTGTGACATGAGCTGGCATTTGGAGCTCCTGTGTGTTGCACCATATTCGTGCACCTCTCCTGATGGGAAAATATAAAGATATTTGCACGGAGTTGCTAAGAAGCTTGGTCCCAGACCTAATGAAGATAGGAAGATACTTGCTTTGATTACCCTGCATGCAAATGCAGTGTTTTTATGCCCTGTGGATCAAGATAATCAAACTCATGGATGTAATGAGCTTAAAAAGGAAATATCACTCCTGACGCCTTTAATCCAAGAAATCTTTATTGATGTTGTCAAGAAGCTGTGTATTTTTATAATGGTCAAGGTCTTCAGATGTTGCAAAAAAACATCTTGGTGGATTTTCAGAATTTGAGATTTTAGAGAACTTGCTTGTTTTATATTTCTCCAAAATAAACATAAAGGACTTGAAACCGGCATGTATATGAGACCTTAGACTGCTACATGTAAAAATACCATTTTCTATAAATCTCAGGACATTTTTGTTGTTTGACATGTTTAGAGAGCCACTTTTGGGCTTTTTAATTTTACTTTTTAATTTAATTTTTTTTTTTATTACTTGTCATTGTTCTGGGAAAACATTTAAATAATTTAATGACCATCTACTTCCAAAAATTCTCTCATAATTTCCAGTTGGCTGCAAATGCTTTTTTACTTCCTTCCCTAAACTACCATATAACATCACATCATGGTCTGTCCATCAGCTGCCAAACTTGTCCTTGTCCCTGTCTTCTGAAAGGAGACATCAATACTCTGTACCAGATCCTGCAGGGTGCCTATCACATCCTCACATGAAGGCATAGGAATCGGGTTTCCTGTTGCCAAATGTCAGCTGAGAAATTCTGCTAAAGGTCTGGGTTTATTTATCACATCTAGTATTTTATTTGGAAAGCTTTCAGGGAAAAAAATCATAAAAGAACCTCTCACCATGCCAGTGGACTGAAACACCTTCAGGACTCTTTTTTCCCCTTATTTTCAACATTTCCCTGTTGTTTTAAATTTAAATTGTCTACAGCTTCTGAGCACACAGTGAAACTTCTTTTAAAGAGATTTTGCTTGCGTTGTGTTTCGCAAACTCTCTACTCCATCTCTGACTCATTCCACGTGGGAGTATTTGCAAAACTCTTTGGCTCACCCAGTCTTTGATTGACGTCACCATTGTCTCCTTACTATTTTTATCCACCTTGTCAGGGCTAGTAAGCACAGTGCAGCATGTTGATTCCGAGTCAATTTTTCATCAGTGTTATGCAGCTTGAAGGTTTTAGTGATGTCTTTAAAGCTGCTTAGTTGATCTTTATGTGGAAGCTTAAATAAATGCTGTTTGCATTTAGGACTAGTAAATCTGAAGGATTTCTGTTCCTCATTCTTTGCCACCTCAGCAGCAGTAAGGTGCTTTGCAGAATTTCAGCCAATGCCTACCTGTCATTTATACTTAGTTATGTATTGGTATTCTCATGATTCATCACAGAAGAGGGAGGGTGTCAGGGAATTTGTGAGAAAAAAAAGATGTAATAATACAACTGTGCCTTGCCACAGTTTTCACATATAACCTCTGGCAAATCATTCAGTCTTTCCACCCCTGCGGCCCATGTCTGCAGCTGGAGATTCAGCACTCATTTCTCTCTGACTTGCAGAACTCAGTTCATGCCTGATGGAGAGGTGCAAGAAGAGCAAAGTTCAAACAAATCCTGAGGGAGAACCTGAAAAGTGGGGTTAACCTCTATTCTGTTGCTGTCATCAAAAAAGGACCTGTAAATATATAGGTTACTATTATGTTTAATTAACTCTTGAAGGCTCCAGGCACTATGGCCCAAATCCAGCTTCCACCTCTGCAGGCTTTGAAGTGCTGGAGGAAGCGTGTCTATGGTAGTGTAATCAATTTCTTCTCACAAGGTGAGAGGACTTTAATGAAGGAAAGAATGATCGATGGATATTTGCCAGCATGCTTGGCTTTGCTTCACAAATGTTCTCATTGCTGGCATTAAACCAAGCCAGAGGATCCACTTATCCACCCACATGTTACTTACTCGTGGTGGGAGGTAGAAGAACATGGCAGAATGAGCAAGAGGGATCACATTTCCTTAGCTTTCTATCCCATCAAGTAATGCATTCCATTTCCTACTGTACAGGTCTTACCAAAATGTCGCCTTCTTTTCTTGCGACACTCTCCTTTTTATTCTACCTCCCAATCTACTTGCATTGTGGTCCTTGTATATTCCTGTAAGTAGCTGCAGGATTTTGCCCAAAGAGTAGAGCTGCTATCAGGGCTGGTGGGGTCAGATGCACGGGCTAGTCTAAAACAATTCAGCAACCACTTGCTCAGATTCCTGCTTGTTCAGCTGGTCTGTGTGCTCAGATAGCCTTGATCAGCTGCTGATTGCTACTTCAGCTCTACTCCCCGCTCATGTGTGGAGGACTTCCTATTAGACAGTTTTATATTCCTGGCACAATAGCCAAATGCTGGAGCAAATCTCTTCCAACTGATCATACTACACTTAACAACTTCCACTCCTTGATTACCGAGGAAATTATTAGAAGAAGAAAGTGTGTAGATCTTTCATCGAGCCTGCCTTATCTTAAGGGAGGTCAGGAATGGTAAGGGGAGGAGAGATTTGAGCAATCATTTAACTTACTTAAAAGCTCTTATTCCTCTATTTTCTCACTTTTGCATCTTGTCTGCTATCTAATTACTTCCATATCAAGTTTTTAACTCAGCATGCCACCTTCTTTTCAGGCTTTTAAAAATTCATACAGATCTGTGTCTGAAAGTGCAATTGTGAGACCTTATTTTCTCACAAACACGGAGTCTGTAACTTTCAAAAACAGATGCATTACAGCTGAAACTTTCATCCACACTTGATGTATTCCAGCCTTGTCCCCATGATGTTAATGAAACTGCACAGCATACTCAGTTTCACTGCAGTCACAAGTCTTTTCTGAAGCTGGGCCCTAATATACTTGTTTGTGATCCTCAGTAAAATATTTGAAACTCGAATAACTGGAAAGTGTTTAGGTAATATTGTGACTTGGGCATTTATATGGTACAAGGTAAGAATTAGGTTAAAAATATTTGATGCAGAATGAAGGAAGCTCTCAAAAAAAGCAATGAAAGTATCTTAGTTATACCTGCAATACAGCATGGTGTTTCTGTTCTTCAGAGCAGATTTCTGAAGCAGAGAAACACAAGTTCCTATTGCTATATTTTAATTTATGGAGAAGAATGAATTAGCTGGGAAGTGTATGCATAGTAGGAGTTTTGTTGCCATGGAAATTACAATGATTTTTAAACTGCTTATAATGGGAAGAAAATCTCTTTGATGAGGACTCATTCTCTTATGTGGTGCTGAATTTAGACACCTTAGTAGTGAAAGAAGCAGTTAAAATCATTGCTGTCAGATAACAGCATTTATTGGGCCAAATAAATAGGACTAAGACCCATATTTTAAAATATATTTCTCTTCAACTTCCAGTGTCTTTGACTTCAACTTTAAGTAGGAAAATGCTCAGTTTCCTGAAGGCTATTTGATGTATCAGAGCCTGATCTTGTATGAGAGGTTTTGTGCTTAGTATTCAATTTGGGCAACACCAGGAGATCAAATGTTTATAGGTTGAAATAATCTTTATACATGCAAATCAAGTAGTTTGATAGCTAAATGCCAACAACTGTATCTGTAACTGATGACACCTACATTCCTTTAGGCTAAGACTGACAAGTCAAGCCTTTGGGCTACATTTTTTTGAAAGCTTAGGGATTTGTGTGCATACTTCCCAGTAAGAGAAAAATAAACCAGGCACTCAGGTCCTATAGTCAGCTTCAAAGATGACTTTCCAAATTCACTCAGCCTCTTCCTTTCTCTACCAATACACAGAATCCTTGGATGACTTTTGAAAACAATTCCTCTGAGAAAACAACCATTCTTCTAAGCACTAAACTGTGCTTAGATGACTGAACCAGGCTGGACAGCAAAAGAGGCAAAAGTTGCTCTCTGATTTTAAAGTGAGGAAAAAAACTGGACCGCGGAAGAAGAAATTACAGGATAAGCTGATGGAGTTCTTTCCAACTCCCACATACGAGCTAAGTATGATGATCTGCCTCACGGCCCTAGAGGACTTCCAGTAGTTTCAGGGAGAATGGATCTTCTGTTTCTTTTCTCCACAGCGAAGTTTTCCAACAGCATAGATAATGCTCAATAAATGAGGAGTTTTTTTCCTGACTATTGGCTATTGCAATATTCTATTTTATTTCATATTTTCTGTACCGTGTAATCTGGGCCTTGTACACAGTGTTAATACATGCAATAATTATAATTCTCCTTGACTGCATCATATTTAAAGGTGTAAGCTTCTCAATTCATCTCCTTGAGGCAGATTACCCAGGAGACAACCCGCACATTACAGATGGAGCTACTCTGATCCCATTAACTGAACAGTGAGGAGAGCATTTGAATCACACACTCCAGAGCCTAGTGAAACCCTGATCTCATTAAAAGCAAAGCTGGCAAGACTGTACCATTGGGGTGCCACTTTGGGTGTGCCTTTGAACTTAAGACTGCATCCGAGGGGCAAGTGTTCAGTGGAAATGGGACTGAGACATCGGGATGAGGTCCCTCACACCACATCCACCTGTGCCTGTGAACTTCTGATCCTTTCTACCAGACACCTCTCAGCAATTTCTGAGGGTGCCAGGGGGCTCAAACCACCAAAGTGAGGCACAGAAGGAAAATAAAAGAGCAGACAACTTAAAACCAAGTGGATTAATTAAATAATCTATATATTTACCAGTGATAATTCTACAGTAAAAAGCCTCCAGGGTTAGATGTTTTATAGGGATTTCAATTCCTTAATTTGGAAGGTTTGAAGCCCTGAGGATTGTTACTCTTTCTGGTTTTCTAAGTGATTTTGTGGAATTGTCATGGTGCAGGCTTTGTCTTTTGGGCTGTTTGCTGTCAATACAAACATCTTTCAAGGACAAGCTATAAGACACTTCAACTGTCATATTACAACACATAGTTCATTGATTTTTGTAGTGCTAAATGGTCTGTAGGTATACATACTGATCTGGAAGATTAGGAAATCTGGACCACATTTCCTGCCTCACCAAAAAAAAAAAATCCCTTTTCTATAACGAGGATAAGAAACTTGTTTGCCACATTTTGCATTTTGTTGTCTGATCTACTGTTATGGTGAAAAAATTCTCAGTAAGAATTAAGCATTGATTGTTACTATGATCATGTTTTAATTCTGGATGTGGGTAATATATACATTGAAAATGAACAAAAAAAACCCCATATTTATCTCAGTTACCTCTTCCTCCATCTTTGTCCCAAATTATCTCCTTAAAATCTCACAATTTTACACCTTTATCATTGGGAAACACAAGCCCATATATATTTTTTCTTTTCCTCCTCACTTTCTTTTCCCATTCACACCTCTCCCCCCACCCCTTTAAACTGTGCTTGTCAGAAATGAGAATCTAATATCTTGTTTGACTAGTAGGCTTTTCCAAAGCATGGCTCTGGAATTGTAACATGACAATGGATACAAAGGCATAAAACTCTTCTTTCTCCTGCAAGGAAGCTGAAAAGGTTTAAGATGAAAATGTCACTGAGTCAGCTGTTTAAGTAGAAGTGTAAGCTGTATTCAAACTCCAGGTGGACATTTCTGCATGGAAAAAGAATGGCAGCAAGGTTAAAAACAGTGGCATTACAAGTGTACCTTGAGTCTTAGGAAGTTAATTTTATCTTGTTATGATACCCCCCTCAGTGTCTCTGTTAGTTTGAGTCTTCCAGTACTATGGAAAGAAGTCACAAATCCTATAAAAATCTCCAAACAAAACAAAACCGCCCAGTTTTTTATTTCTATTTTTCTTTTTGGGTAAAAATGCAGAAATCTTTCTAGACCAAGAGGGAACAGGGACACAGCATTATGTTTTGCTTTTAGGCACTTTAGGGATGGAACAAAGCAAAGGCAAACTAAATGCCTAAACTAAATGTGAGTTAAACTTACCTTAGGGAAAAAGGGAATCAGAAGCTAGAAACAATATTTGCTTTCAAGCAGTGATGTGCTATAGATAAGACTGTTTTGTCCCAGCCTTCAATAAGTACTCTGTCCTTGAATGCTCCCACAGGAGAGGAGGATGAGAAATCAGCCAAATAAGTAACATCTCCTGCTATTTAAGTAATAAAAATTTTGCATAGCCAAGGTGAGGTGAAAGCACTGCTTAGAAAGCTGAAAAGATCGCATTGCTGGGAAGGGGACCTATCTGTACTAAGTTATATATTCCTGGAAGAATAGATCAGACGAGCTCTGGGTGGGTGGGGGAAATGGCTCCTTCCTGGAGTGAGGTGCTGATGTTGCTCAGAGGAGCAGGAGACTGGTGTGGCAGATGGGAGCAGCTGCCTCTGAGGTGATGGAAAGGCTTTCCCAAAACATCAGACAGGTTTAGTTAATGGACACTGAATCATATCAAGCCAAACATAGAAACTGCAAAGACATGGTGGGCAAGACTGGAGTTGGATTTAAGGTTTTTTCTTTCTTTTTCATGAAGGAGTTAAGTGGTGGAGTTTTTTTATTTGATTGGTTTGGGTTTGGGGTTTGTGTGTTATTATTATTTATTTATTGAATCTGTTACCTATTTGGCAAATGTATTTTTAACAGCTTCTAGTTTTTATTCAAGTGAATTTATTACTTTTTCCCCCCCTATCTTCTCCATGAATCTCCTTCAAAAATTGGCAGAGCAACCTCAGCTGCAGCTTCAGCTGCAGTTGTGTTTCTCTCACAGTTACACTTTCCTGGAAATAGGTAGGTACTTTTTTCTTAAAGATGTACTCTCTTTTGGCAGGTATTACTGTATTATTTTAACAGTGTTATTGTACAATGAGTGTTAGAGTTAGCAGACCTTATGGACATGTCAATGTACCATAAAAATATCTGCTATATTAATAAATCAAATTAATTGTAGGGGCAAAAATTATTCTTATGGAGAAGTATTGTATAAAAGGAAAGGATAAGTCATTGCTCACAGCAATGTTTTAGCCTCTATCCAGAGAGTCAATATGTGTGGGAGAGATCTGAGGCAAAGAAAGCATCTCAAATTTTGCTCTGCTCTGGTTGCAAAATTTTAGAGATGCTTCCCAGATCCACCCTTAACATGTGAGGAGTCCTGGGGTGGCTGTACCTGCATAATGGCTGCATAATTCCTTTTTCTAAGAGAATTGCTACGGAGCTGGAAGAGAACAGCTTATACATTTCTTCTTCCTGTATCCCACGCAGCGTATCAGTTCAGAGACCGCCCTAGTGTCTTTCTGAGGTCTTCAGAGGTCACACAGCAGAACTTCTGTGGAACTGTCACCTTCTGTGCATGGTAGGTTTTTGTGAAAAGAGACTGCTTCCCTTTATGCAGCAGAATGGACAATGCAGGCCAATAAAAACACAATATCCATTGTACAGCATGAAAGGGGTTTCTCTGCAAAGACTGTTGTTTATTTTCCTTTATGTCCTTTCTGATACCAAACATGGACTTCTTCTGCTCCTTCTCTCTCATCACCAGCTCCCACTCAGTGTGCCTCCTTAGCATGCTCTGTGATGGTGACACACACTCCATTGAACCCTGCTGGAGTCTGTAATTCCCCAGCATGAGACAAATAAACAGCTTTTTTTTTTTTTTTTTTGGTTTGTCTACTTCCCAGACTGACATGCTGTAAAATAAAATAAACAAGGATTTTGAAACCTACGTTAATCAACACTGGTGTGGTATGCAGAAAATATGTTGTGAAACAAATGCTTTGAATTAGGACAAATGCAAAGGCTTAGGGCTGATTAATAGCTACTGCAGTCAAAGACTTCTGAGATTTTTCTTCAGTGCTATGGGCCAGGATAGAATTTCAAACATATTAGCAATAGTGTGCATGTCTGCTGCTCAACCACTAAGCAAAGGAAAGTAAGTGCTAGAACAAGCTAAGAAATACTTTTGGATACTCTGTCACAAAGAAATCAAAGCAAAAGTACCACTGTCAGCCTCAGCATTAATTGGTCTTAGGAGTGGGTAACTTTGAAGATAGGGAGGAATGAAAGACTGATAGACTAAGGATAGATTTCACTTGCTAGTCATGCACCAGTATTTGATTGATGGATTGATTCAGTCTGACTGATGAAAAGCTCTATCAGCCTTCTGCTGCATCAAGACACAAACACGTCCAAACAGGTAAAAATGTTCATCTGAACAAACTAGTAGTCCTAGTGGCGTGTGAATAGGATCTCTACAACAGTTGGAAGAATTCCTCACTGTAATTATAATATTTTCCTCACTGATATGGTGAATTTTTGCATATAGATTGAAGAAATGTGGATTTATTTTTTTTTTTTAAATCAATATATCCACTAGGAATGGGTTGATTAGATCCTGTAAAACTACTCTGTAAGGAAGTCAGGCTGGGAAATACTTTCAGTTCTGACCACATGATGCTGTTTGATCTGGGAAGATGTCTAACTGTTCAGAGTTCCAAAAAAATACATATCTTTGGCCTGCCCTGGAAGAAGAGAGCCCAGTAACAAAGATGCCAGTTTCAAACCAAGCATAGTGAGCGTGGCAGAAGTTAGTACAGATGCATCCAAAAATGGTATTGTTAAGACTCCATCTCCTGGAGTCGTGCAATTATGCAAAACACTCATGGTTTCATGTTTTGTTCTTTTAACACCGTGTCTTATCATGGTTGAAAAGTCAAGTTGGAAATGGCTGTAGAGTGCAAGGCAAGCAAAGGCAAGCACAGAGTTCATTGGCTGGTTGGTTTTCAATTGCAGAGGCTGGGAGTTCAGCAGTAGTGAGAACTTCCTCTAGATGATTCTGTATCAAACACTAGCAGCAACTCTCATGAGGTCTGTGTCTGACCCCTTGCTGCTGGGATATTATTTACTTCATACCAGTCCCATGTGAATGGTAACACCATCTGGAGGTGTTCCAAGGCCAGCAGAGCCCTGTGGCACAGGACTGTATTGTACCATATGAAATGTTTAAGTGCTGAGTAACCACTGCCTGAGAATTCACCTCTTCCCTTCTGGTCACTTCTGGAAACCAAAAGTCAAAATTTGCTTTAAACCACTTCTTGCTCTGTGAACCTCAGCCATGCAGCACACAACTCCATCCCCACCAGCACAACACTTCTCCACAGGTCAGACTTGGTTCTAAGTCTCAAGTGCTACAGATGTCTTTTGCATC